TCAAGAGACAGAACTGTGACCGGGCTTTGATCAACGCGCGAACGTAAGTAGTACCACGCGCTTGTTTGACATGTACTGACTGTGAGCAGACTGCAAGAAGTGTTTGGCGGAAACGCAGTATCCGACGAGTACGGGATCGGAAGACATGTCGCCAACTTGTTTGTGACGCAGACATACGAGGGCCAAAGCGACATCCACTGTGAGTACAATCGAAACGTGTCTCGACTCTGACTAACCTGCATCAGCTTTGATCCTCGGTCGTGCAATCACAGGTCTACAAGCATTCTGCTAATGGTGAAATGTACTCGGGTTGTTGCTGTACTACCAACAAGAATACGTAGAAGCGCACCCAATCACAAGCAACATGTCAGCTGTAGGCGCCTAGCGGTGGTACGCATGCAGGCAATGTTTATTTAGAAGTAAATGCATATCAAACCCGGCGACTCTTGCCTCGAACGCGGCAAGTATCACATCTGATTGCTCGTATCCACAGTGCCGTTCGCCACCCGAGTAAAGGCCTCGCTACCGCCCAATGCGTGGTGACTAAGTGAGGTCAGAAGCAGCGTGAATGTCCATGTCAGCCTTGAGGCATCTTCTCCAGGCTTCGATAGGTTGCCACCCAGCGCGGTTGTTGGGTTAGAAACGCTCGGTGGAAATGTGGGCAGCGACAGTTGGGCGGTCAGCTTGTCTCGCCTCGTGCGGTTGGCTCCTCACACATGATAAATACAAACGCCCCTGCTTCAGCCCCATCGTGCAAAACATCGTGCTCGTACAGCGTGACCGTCTTTGTCCTCACATAGAGTCAGAGGTGAGTGAGTTAAAGAGTGGCGGATGAGGTTCCCGCGCTGACACGCCGCACTTGCTTTCTTTGGATCCCCGCCGCTAACTAACCGCCTTGCCTGCGCAGACATCCCACTTCAACTCTTCAACACCAACTCGCTCGACCCCGACACCCGCGATACCCGTCACCACCACTCCACACACCACACACACACACCGCAGCCATGGCTCTCAAGCGCATCAACAAGGAGTTGACCGATCTCGGCCGGTACGTGACCCATCTCCCGGCCCTCGTGGCTGGCGGCGAGGCTCGCTGTTTTGCTTGCACGGCCACGACCGCATGCGGGGCCCTCAAGCAAGGCCGCAACGCCGTCTCCCTGCGAGAACACGACGAGAAGAACATTTAGCTGACACGACACCCCTAGTGACCCTCCCTCTTCCTGTTCAGCTGGCCCCATCGGAGATGATCTGGTACGTCACTCTCCGCGAAGACAGCCACGCGGCTGGGCGAACGCAAAACCACACTGGACATGACACTGACAACACGCAGTTCCACTGGCAAGCAACCATCATGGGTCCCGGCGACTCACCATATTCCGGCGGTGTCTTCTTCCTAGCAATCCACTTCCCAACCGACTACCCCTTCAAGCCCCCGAAGGTCAACTTCACCACCCGCATCTACCACCCCAACATCAACTCCAACGGCAGCATCTGCTTGGACATTCTGCGAGACCAATGGAGCCCTGCTCTGACCATCTCAAAGGGTGCGTCTCCATAGATCCCTATAACAAACCAGCTCTGATACTAACAAAAATCACAGTGCTGCTGAGTATCTGCTCGATGCTGACAGACCCAAACCCCGACGACCCGCTCGTCCCCGAGATCGCACACGTCTACAAGACCGACCGGTCCCGCTACGAATCGACGGCGCGCGAGTGGACCCGAAAGTACGCCATCTAGGCTCTCGAAGCGCAACAAAGGAGCGTCAAGACTGGGTGCGGCGGAGAGCGTGTCTTTTGTCGTTAGCATCTGCGGAAGGGAGGCTAGGATGATGGTTAGGGGCAGACTTTCATGGTAGTGACTGATGGGGGGTTTTACACTTGTACTACGGCATGCATGCTGGACTGGGGTTCATAGCATCTGGCTATTATCACTCTTACCACAACAGGCTCGATTTCTTCTCTGATGTTCAACTCGAGTCGCGTGCTTGTTTGTGATTACTGTGAAGATTGCATGTGATGATATTTTACAACATTGGTAAGCGACTAGGCCTTCTTCGCCTCGTCGCCTTGTCCGTCTACACTATCTTTACTTGTCTGCGGATCCTCCACTGCCAGCGTACCCGTACCCAGGATCGAAGACATGGTATCACCATGGTCTAGTATCGACGTATTCTGCGCTTCTTCCTTCAACCGCCGAGTCTGCTCCTCGGACAGCCTCTTCCACTCCCTATCCCGCTCCTCCTTGGCTAATCGCAGCCTGGCCTCTTCCTCTTCCATCATCTTCAGCGTATTCTCCTCCACATCCTCCTCCACAGAATCCTTCAGCACCTCTTCGTCTACTGCGTCTACTACACTTTGCCATCCACCCTCTCTAACCTCCTTTGCCAATTGAGCAAGGTCCTTTTGTTCCCTCTCCACCCATTCGCGACCGTAGTTTTGTAGTTTCTTGCGACGTTCGAGTTGCAGCATGTAGGATGTGCCTACGAGAGGGCAGAGTATGGAGGCTCGCTTGTTGAATTTCGTGTCGAGGAGGAGGTTCTTGTGGAGATCGCGGAAGGTGGCTTGGACGTGCTTGATGGCTATGCCTTTGCGGCCGAGGTCGTTGGTTTCGTCGGCGGGGTCGCGGAGGGAGAGCATGTACGGGGGGAGGGGCTTGGTTTCTCCGCTCTGTGTGGGGGTCAGCATGATGGGAGATGTAAAGAGGAGAATGGGTGAGTGCAGACCTGTAGCCGAGCCCTCTGGGTATCCGTGAGGACAGGGTGCTTCGCCTTGTCGAAGAGGTGAGCAGGTTCGATAGACACGCCGTGCTTCGTCGTATCGAAGTTACCCCAGAAGTCGAGGAAGTGGAGGAGGGCACGCGCAGAGTCTCTCGGTGGCTTTGGTGCATGCTTTATGCTGGCGACGACCATCATGAAGAGCGAGTAGGACCCAAAACCGCCCCGGAATACGTCCGAAAGGCCTCGTGTGTCGAACATGGTCTTGACTACCCAGTACAGCTCTCGCAGGTAGGGTATCTTTTCCATGTACTCCTGCATAGTGACCCTCGAGATGGATGTATCGTTTGAGAGCACAACCTGCACATCCAGGCCCGATTTGCGGTCCTGCGCGGCGACGAGAGGATAGCGCGCGTGACGAATCGCGGCCAGTAGGTATGCTCCGTTCTTATTGAATACCCTCCAATATAAGTTACTCAGAAGACGTGTTCCCTTTTTCCGCTCTTTCGTATCCGGCGGGAATTTTGGCACCTGCGCGGGGTCTGACGGTTGTGACTTTAATACAAGCCTGAAGTCTATGTCTGACAGAGGCATAGCTATGCCAGTCCGCTCAGAGCCAAACACCTCGATGTTGTATTTCGGAAGGAATTGTTTAACCTGTCTCTGCACCTGTTCGATGAGGTGCTTCCGCGCGGCCGTTTCGTATCGATCGGGTTGTGTGTACTTGTAGAATTTCTCGATCTCTGATTGCAGACTGGACCTCGACTTAGCATGACATTACGAGTGAGGACGGCTTGGGGATGTACCGATCCAGGCCTGTCATTGTTGGCTCTCCCTCCATGTTCACACACCATGGAAGCGCGCTTTCTCTGACCTTCCCGACCACGATGGGCCGTACAACTACGCCCTCGTAGTCTTGCGATTTTGCAAACGCGTCTTTGGCAGTCACCAGCTGATCCTGGTACTCGACATTCGAGGGAGTAGGCATTGTCCGCTTCAGGTGTTTGTTTTTAGCGATCGAAACCTCGACCTTGCTGGACAGCCAGCGCCCTTTGACCGTGGTCATTCTCCTCACGGGCAATTGCTTTGCCTCTGCATTCGGCGGTTCTGCCGCATTGTCGGTGACTGCTTCGCTAGCTTGGGCATCGCGAGCATGAGTATTATCACCCTTGCTACTTGAATTCGCGCCATCTTGTGCAGTTTCTGTCGCAGTAGAAAGTTGGCGCCGGTCGCGGGGTCCTGGCGAGCCAGGTTGGACAAAGTGCTGCCATAGCGCAATGGATGGATTGAAGCGATTATGGGCGCGACATATCAGCCGGGTGCGCGAGAGTTGCATTAGGCCCGGGGAGATAACGACGACTCGCAATGCGGCAAGGTGGTGGTTGTGCTCACTCTACACGAATCTTCTGCATGCATCTTCGCGTGCACTGTGCCAAGCATCTAGTCCGCTTTGGGCCGTCGAGTCGACGGCGGAGGATGCCAGGCACTCCCGCGGGCATGCTGCATTACCAGTCGCTCTCGTATGCACCCGGCCGTTGGACACGTTTATTGCTAGCCCTGCGTCTGCCATGTCGCATGATATACGGAGGACATTTGTGAAAGCGGCCAGACTGCCCCCAATACCCCACAGGCACTGCAGAGGCCCCAAGGCGTCTCCGTCGTCGGTCCACTTGCAGCACTTGCGCCGGCCCACACCCTCGTCCGATATGAAAGCTGCCTGACATCATATTGACACGCCCAACAAAACTTCGCAGAGCGGTCAGCGAGCGGAGCGCATGCAGGCGCGAGGAGTCGGTAATGGTGCGCTGCTGTCCTGGATGCCTTGCTTGCAGCAGAGACAGCGAGGCCCGAGCTGGTCGGTTCCAACGTCACAGCTATGTTAGTGGGGCGTTGAACCATCCCACCACGGCCAGCTTTTCTTCCCTCATTACACTCGTCGACCTTCTGTGAGCTTCTCGACACACGTGGTGTCTTCTCTCTGACATCCTTCTCACACCACCCTTCGTTTGAGACCTCTAAATTCCCCTCGTTCCGTGACAGCCCCAGCCCAGACCCATTGCGGAGCTCTTTCCTGTGAGACTCGTCCAAGACAGCGACGCAAGCACCAGGTAATTCATATTTCATAATTATTTTTAGTCGCGCCTCACCACTGCATGCACGTAAACATTGCACTGCCTGTCCACTGCTCGGCATATTCCTCACCTATAATCCTCCCACCTCTCATCTTCTCGCCTACAAGTACCTGACAGTTCCATGCAGAGCACCGCCTACGCTTACATCCACCATGGCCCCTCCCACAGATGAGAAGCCCCAGCGGCCTCCGCTCGACTCCCAAGACAGCACACATCCTGCGCTAAACCCCGCAATTACCAACGTGCCCGTCACACCCGGCGTACATCTCTCCGGCAAAACTGCCTACTTCGACGAGTCTACCACCGAGAAGACGAGCAACCTTCCCTTCAATCCCGAGACTGCCACACCAGGCCCCCAATGGAGCGCCAACTCATACTTCTCTGGCCAGCAAAAAGAGGGCCAGGCGAGCACTCAGACTGAACAGGCAGCCGGCGCACAAACTGATGGAGACGTCAAGAGCAAAACGAGCGAGGTACCCGACCCGAATGCCAAGCACGACCTTGCAGACGTAGATCCTCGCGCCGCACACCCTGGCTTGAACCTCAGCGGTCGCGTTATCAGTGCGACCTTTGCCATACCCTATTCAATTGGTTACTCACAGGGCAACGACTGGGAACTGAACCCGCGACGCGGAACCTCGGCCCTTTTCGACTCCTTCTCTTACCTGGCCTCCAGTTCTTCTCCATGGAACCACGTGCTCGTAGGCTGGACTGGTGAGATCGCGCACGCAAAGACAGCATCCGTCACAGCTACGCAAGCGCCCATGAACAAGGCCGCCGCGCCCATTCCCGTCGATCCAAAGAAACCGACACAAGTACCTCAAGCTCCAAACAGCTTCAGGATAGGCCCAGACGATCGAGCACGATTGGATAAACAGCTCGAACGCGATCACGGAGGCAGGATTGTACCAGTGTGGCTTGTCGACGAGGTAGATGATGGCAAAGATGAATACATCCTGAAGAACCAGAGCCATTGGAGGACATATGCCGAGCACGAGCTCTACACCCTGTTCCACTACAAGCAGAATGAGCCAGCTGATGGGCGCGCTGCCCGGAAATCATGGGCCGACTACTACCGCATGAACAAGCTTTTCGCAGACAGGATCCTCGAGGTCTACAAGCCAGGCGACATCGTCATGGTACACGACTTTTACCTGATGCTCTTGCCAAGTCTCCTTCGCCAACGTCTACCAAACATCTACATTGGCTTCTACCTGCACATCCCCTTCCCAAGTAGCGAGTTCTACCGCTGCCTGAGCAGACGGAAAGAGATCCTGGAGGGCGTGTTGGGCGCCAACATGATCGGCTTCCAGTCATACAGCTACTCGCGGCACTTTTCGTCTTGCTGTACTAGGATACTGGGTTTCGATTCGTCCTCCACTGGAGTCGATGCATACGGCGCGCATGTAGCAGTCGACGTGTTCCCCATCGGAATTAACGCCGTCTCCACACAGCGACAAGCTTTTGGCGACCCGGAAATTGAACATAAACTCAAAGACATCAGCGAGATGTATGCTGGCAAGAAGCTCATTGTTGGGCGTGACAGGCTAGATGCGGTTCGCGGAGTGGTTCAGAAGCTCCAGGCGTTCCAGCTCTTCCTTCAGAAGTATCCCGAGTGGGTAGGCAAAGTAGTCCTCATCCAGGTCACAAGTCCTAGCGGAGTCCATACCGATAGAAGTGATGGCGCTCAGGAAAAGGTGGTCAACAAGATCTCGGACCTTGCGGCCAAGATCAACGGCACCTACGGAACCCTAGACTTCACCCCGGTCCGTCATTTCCCACAGTACCTTTCCCGGGAGGAATACTTTGCTCTGCTTCGACTTGCAGACATCGGCCTCATCACCAGCGTGCGAGACGGTATGAACACGACAAGTATGGAATACATCATTTGCCAAAAGGATAATCACGGACCGCTCATTCTGTCGGAGTTTTCTGGTACAGCGAGTTCCTTGCACAACGCAAGCCACATCAACCCCTGGGACATGGGCGGAGTTGCCGATGCGATCAACGACGCTCTAAACCAGAGTGACGAAGTTCGTGCCGAGACGCACGCTCAACTCTACAATCATGTTGTGCAAAACAATGTCCAGGCTTGGTCGAACAACTACCTGAAGCGATTGATGACGAACCTGTCAGCTTTCGATCAAGCGTTCGCCACGCCAGCACTGGACCGGGCTAAACTACTCTTCCAGTACCGTGAAGCCAAGAAGCGACTCTTCATGTTCGACTACGACGGTACTCTGACACCCATTGTCAAGGACCCGCAAGCAGCTATTCCATCCGATCGTGTCATCCGGACCCTCAAGACCCTAGCAGCGGACCCTGCGAATGCTGTTTGGATTATAAGCGGCAGAGACCAAGCTTTCCTGGACGAATGGATGGGTCATATTCCCGAGCTGGGTCTGAGTGCTGAGCATGGCAGCTTTATGAGGCATCCACGCAGTCAAGAATGGCACAATCTCACCGAGACGACCGACATGAGCTGGCAGCAGGAGGTTATTGACGTATTCCAACACTACACAGAGAGGACCCAAGGTGAGCTTATATACTGTCAATCAAACTATCTAATACTAACGGGTGATCAGGCTCATTCATCGAACGCAAGAAGATTGCCCTGACGTGGCACTACCGGAGAGCGGATCCCGAATACGGTGCGTTCCAGGCGCGTGAGTGCCAGAAGCATCTCGAGAGGACTGTCGCAAAGAAGCACGACGTCGAGGTCATGACGGGTAAAGCCAATCTTGAAGTTCGCCCGAGGTTCGTGAACAAGGGCGAGATCGCGAAGACGCTGGTAGAGAACTACGGCGAAGGTAGCGGCAATGCGCCCGAGTTTGTTCTTTGCATGGGCGACGACTTCACAGATGAAGGTATGTGTAGCACTTGTGGCTGCGCTGTCCACCCGCTAACATCAACAGACATGTTCCGATCGCTGCGCCAGTCCAAACTGCCCACTGATCACGTCTTCTCGGTCACGGTTGGCGCCAGCTCGAAGCAGACGCTGGCGAGCTGGCATCTGCTCGAGCCTTCGGATGTCATCTCTGTCATTTCGTTGTTGAACGGATCCGCAGATGCAGGCAATGTTGGCGCGATTGCTGTGGTCGATGGCACGGTCCCGGAGTCTCGAGTAATCGCATGAGGTCATGGTCGGACAATTTCAACTGTAATGGAGCACGGAGCATGGTGAGGCTGTAGATCTACGGTATGCGGCATGGCGATCCCGGAATTTTTTGGGCATCAAGTTTTGGAGAAGCAATCAGATCCAATGTCATGGTGGTTCTCGTTGTCCCACGAAAAGAAACGCTTCTGTTCTGTGATCGGCCATGCCGATTGCTACCCGGCGGATGAATTGAGCAGCACGAGGATTAGCAATGCGCCCCTGGGACGAGCGTCGGTTGCCAAGGCGGTGGCGCCGGCACGCTCTGGGGTCTCGCCCAAGACCCCTGATTACCACGTGAGACCCTGACTCGACAACCGGGAACCTTTGAATGCGAACTCTGCGAAATCCAGGGTTTGGGGGCCTTCGGAGAGGTTTCCGCGACGGGCATGCTTACAGATTGCCCAGCTGTCAAGCAAGTGAGCCGCTACACCCCGCAATGAAGAATATCGATGCAAGCCGCGCAATGGCGAAAGCGGTCCACGACTCACGATGCTGCGACACGGACGCGATGGCTTTTCTAGGCCTGGTATGTTTTGGCTTTCGGCTCTACTAACCCCAAATCATGCAACTTGGGATTCGAGAACTGCCCGCGCATGAAACCTGGAACGCCTAGCAACTGTCCCGCCCCAACAACCTATCCGAGGGAAGGCCCTCCTTCCTCTTGGAACTCGCGTACCGTAGTCGTTAATCCCGTCTTTTACCAGCCATCCGTTCCTTTTTCATTACATCGTTCCCCTCCCGCGCCGCATCTCTACACTCGTTTACCCGCTATCTACCCTCGCATAATCTGAGCACCAATCTTACAGGCGTGAAGCGCATTATTATAACATAATTCGAGTACCTGGTCCGACCTCAATCCGACACGGCATCTGCAACAGCGCAGCAGGGAACTAGCCGGCGAACACATTGCGACATCACAACCGTGCCGTATCTACGATCCGCCTCTCCTTGGTATTCCTTCTTCGACACAGACACAAACACAATATCTCTCGGCGCGCGGCACAACAAACTCCACACAATACACAATGGGTCTCATTGAGAAGATGCAAGCTCGTATGTCTTACCTCGCTTCGTCCCATCTTACCTTAGCCCCGAACCTTCACACCTGCGACAGTAGACTAACAAGAACCCAATTCAGGCCTCGAGCTCTACCGCCTCGAACAGCGTTACACACGTCGCGAGAAGCGCACGACCTTTATCAGCGAAGCGCAATATGTTGACGGCGAGTACGTCTATGCCTCGGCTCCTTCCTCGGCAAACTCGTCCACCATCTCAAGTAGCAAGCGCTTCAGCAAGATGCCTTCTACTATACGGATAAAGGAACTGAGCCGTATGGGAACTGGACGGTCATAGATGCTCCTCGGGCGAAGCTGCTCCTGTACCTACGGGTCGACAACTATCGATGGATGGACACCTATCTGGTCGGACCAACAGAGAAAAGACAGCGTCATAGCCTACCGAGGAACAACGTGCCATGCATGACACCTTACACGGCATCGCAGCACACGACGTGTTCAAAGCTTTGAGTACGTCGCACAAGAAAACATACACCACGCGCAAGTAGAAAAGAAAGAGGAGACGAGACACCCCGCAAACACTGCGCAAGCGCAAAACATAATCATTAACGCAACGACATTTACGCCAGAACAACCATCGACGAAAAGGGAAATAACGGACTAAAAGTTTCTTCCATCACATGTCAGGTTCTTCCATTCTTTACACCCACATTTTCCTTTTCTCTTGCCATCTATCGAGATTTATAAGTCATGTTTGCGACACAGTTAGAATACCCCATTGGCTTCCAGAATAGACCTGGATCTGCATCAATATAAGTTTTTATCCAATTGGTCGTGTTGGATGATGTGTTGTGTGAAGGTGTTGCGGATGAATTGAATGGTTGCCAAGGGCGTCCTGCAGATGCGTAGGGCGTGCGGACCAGACTGCGCATGAGAGTGGTCGAGAATGGGAGGTGTTGTAGGCGTAAGGCGTGTGGGCGCAAGGCGTGTGCGGATGAGGTAGTATATCGCGAGTATGGGAGTTGTACATTCACCTCTAGTCGACGCGGACGCTACCTGTTGCGACAGTACCCTCACGATAGCAAGATCCATCAAGACATCATCAAGTACAGTCAATTGACACCCTCATCACATTCTCCCCTTACATCTAGTCCACATACTAGCAACCGGGAACATGTCCAACGATCCCATCGAAAGCACACCAGCAACTACTGTCGTTGAACCAGACGACCCAAATCTACTCCCACGAAGCGACATCGAAGAGAAGCGCATGTCGAAGCTCCATGAGTCCCCTTCCTTCCTCCCTCCAACCCTCCCACCCATGGACAAAGGGAAACACGCCTTTCTCTTCCTCACCGCAGCCTTCGCCATCGAATTCTTGACCATCGGTCCGTCCCCTCTCAAGCTTCCTCAAACCTCCTCAACCCTCCCCATCTCTCTCTAACACACCTCCCCTAACACAAACTCACCAACCCACAGGCCAATCCTTCTCCTACGGCCGCTTCCAATCCCACTACACCACACACGCCCCCTTTGCCGCCAGCTCCCAATCCTCCTCCTCCTCTTTCGCCGCGGTAATCGGCGTCCTGAATCAATCTCTCATCCTCATCTTCCTACCCCTCGTCCTGTATCTCGCGCGCCGGAAACCCACCTGGGCACGCTGGATGGCGACGACGGGTCTGCTCGGTTGTATTGTGTCCAACATAGCGAGTTCGTTCTGTACGAGCACGACGCAGCTCATATTCACGCAAGGCGTACTGCAGAGCGTAAGTGGGAGTGTGGCGTTTTGCCCGCTATTGGTCTTTGCAGAACAGTGGTTCGATAAGAGGCGGGGATTGGCGTTTGGGGTTATTGGTGCGGGTGGTGGGTGCGGAGGGCTGATTCTGCCTCTTCTAATCAACGCGTTACTGAACCAGGTGGGATATCATAATACGATGAGGATTTTGGCTGGTGTGATGTTTGGGGTGGGTATGCCGTTGGCGTGGTTTGTTAGACCGAGACTTCCGGTCACGGACAGCGGGGCTGGGGAGAAGAGGTTCTGGAACTGGAAACTCATTCTTTCAAAGTCTTTCTTGTTACATCAACTTGCTAATTTTGTTCAGGGCGCGGGGTACTATCTCCCTGGTATCTACCTTCCTTCTTTCACTCGCGAGGTGTTTGGTGCTTCGGATTGGTTGTCTACGGCCTCACTCATGTTGCTCAACGTGTCCGCTATGGTAGGTCTTACCATCATGGGGTACATGACCGATCGGTTCAACTCGCGCGTCTGCATTGCGGTCTCCGCTACGGGCGCTACTCTCTCTGTCTTTCTTTTCTGGGGCTTGGCTACACACATCGCTGTTCTATACATCTTCTGCATCTTGTTCGGATTGTTTGCAGGGGGATTTCCAGCAGCATGGCCGGCTGTTATGAGGGAGATGGCGAAGAAGGGCGAGTCGAGGGGGATGGGACATGTGGATACCATCCTCATATTCTCGCTGTTCTGTCTTGCTAGGGGAATTGGGAATATTGTTGCTGGGCCGATGAGTGAGGCACTTGTTGGCGGCATGCCTTGGAAAGGAGAGGCAATTGGGGGCTATGGAAGTGGTTATGGTGGACTTGTTGTTTTCTGTGGGCTGAGTTCGCTGGTTAGTGGGATGAATGCGTTGTGGTACCATTTGTTGTAGAGGTCTCCGATTTTGGTGGAGCAACGAGCATGTGTTTCTAGACCAATCATATGCACATGCACGCGATTTAGGATGACTGTTCCAGATTCTGTACTGCTCGTATAAGATTACGCCCGTGTAACATGCGAGCATACGTCGCTCCACCACCTCAGATCCTGCAGCGTCGTAGCCACAGATCTCTTCGTAGCCCTGTCACCCATTCAGTAACCCTCCCGCATAGCATTCTTCCCGTAATTCTAACCGACCGGCCACGGATCCAAAAGAGTGCCATTGTGCGAAGTTGCCGATGACAGCCTCGATCCCGCTAAGCCTGCATCTGTACAGTGTCCTAGCAGTGCAGGGTCACGTAAGCAGGCGAACTACGCCCTCTGAATACCGATCAATCCATACAAGAGGATCTGAAAAAGCAAAATATGGTGCATTTATTGTCATTGGTGGTGTGCGACTAATCGCGGATGGGCGCACCAAATATGACCTGCATTGCATGAAGCTGCAACGCTAGTAGCAGAGGCAAACCTGTGACCATTGACACCCACGTAGTGACCATGCAAACCGAGGACTATGGGGGAAATTACTGAAAGTAGATGATTGTAATGATGGAGTATATTGCGCTAAATAATGAGGACATTGGCGTAGTTTTGCTATCGAGTACGCGTGTGGCTGGCTGCTTGGGGGGTATCATCCGATCTATAGGTATCTTGCGCAAGTGAATGGGAGTGGCCCCTGATCTCTCTTCCCTTCTAGGTGGTGACTCCGTTTGCTCGAAAGAAAATGATGGAAGAAATGAAACCCAAATGTGGACCAACGCCGAAATAAAAGATGCCCACCACCATGTAAAACTCCGTTGAATGTGAAATCGTGAAAATCGTAAAGTTCGAGGCGGCCATGCGCTCTCAAATAGGAATAGGCGAATGCGATGCGGAGCTGTGCATTAGACATTGTTGTCGTAGTCGCTGAGGATATCCTCTGGGTCCTCCGGTGGAAGCATATCGATGGTGTCGCTTGTGCGCGGGCCGGTGTACTTCTTCCTTGCACCCGCATACCACCAAGCCGTGCTAAACAGGCCAATGAAGGCTGCCACACAGATAGCGTAGTTCATGTTGTCGGCCCTGACTGGCTTGACAGTCGGGAAGAACAACACAACACTGATGAAGATGACCCATGTCACTGCAATCGCATTGACCGGCTTGCTCCATCTGCCCATTGTGTATGGTCCAGGGTGGAAAGTGACAGTGTTCTCGTACCATCGGTGGGCAATGATGACTGCGATGTAACTGATGTCCAAGGCCGGGGCGGT